CGGGCCATGGCAGCTGGTAGCAGCTTGCCACGCGCGGGGCTCCAACGATGTGGTCTCGCCCAGAACGGGTCCTGTAAGAGATGCGGGGAGTTGGTGGGGTGTCGCGTGCGCCGTGCTTGGAGCTGTCCGAAGAATGCCGAGTTCTCCAAGGTCTCGGACTTCGTGGCAAGGCGAGCCCTGGCAGCTTGGGGGAGTAATCCAAGCTTCTGGCTGCGAGGGCTGGCGCCGCGCGGCCAGGCCGCCGCGCCTCCCGCCCCCGAAGGTCGGGGGTTCCAGACCTGCGGGGGGGGGGCGGGGGGGGGGCCTGAAGGAGGCTGCTTTGGTGGGCGGCTTTTTGTTTCGAGGGGGCGACGCTAGCGGGGGGCCTGACGCGCGGGGCCCCGCACGCCGTTGGGTTGCCTGGTCATGGGTTGTGTTTGAGGGCCTCCGAGCTGGTGGGCAGCATGGCCCCAGAGAGCTCCAGGCCCACGCAGTCGGATGGCGCCAGTCGGTCAACAGGGGGGAAGCGTTGAGTTTCCTGCATTTCTTGGAAGCTGTCCTCCCTGTTGCAGACGGCTTCTCTGTGACGGGTCCCGCGTGTGTTGCGAAGATTAAAAAATCGCCGGTCCGGAATGTTTCCGAAGTCTCACCTAGATGCGTGGCAGAGTGTCACAGGCGTGTTGGCCCAACGCCCGTCGATGGGGAATCGCGTTAGCCGAAGTAGAGAGCCACGGGGAGGTAGAAGACATCAGCGACCTGGGAACCGACCCCTTGTTTTTTCTTTTACGTGATTTGGCTGACCGAGTAGCGAGCCAATTGGCAGATACTAGTAGTGTTTCTGTTTCTGCTAGGGACAGCAGGTTCCACGCCCAAGCGATTGCTTTCCAGGTCCGCCAGCGCCTCGGTCTCAGTCGTTCGGCATCGACTGACGCTGACGGGCATTGAGCGCCCAGAGAGTCGGTCACGAAGCCCAAGAGGCGCCGGATCCAGAGCCAACTGCTGTTGACTGCTCACCAGCCTGTGTGGGGGATAGTTTCCCAGGTCCGCTGGCATTGCTGTGGAGGTTGTACGCCGCGCAAGTTGGCGGATAAGTCTTTAGCGACCCCTCGCCGCCAGGGCTTGTGTTAGGAGCTGATTTTGGTGCCCGCGAAGAGCACAGTGAATGACATTGACTTGCGTAGCTCCCGCACCTTGGCCTATCACACGGAGTTCGGGATAACGGTTTGTCTGTCTCGTGGCTGCGTGGCCGCCCAAGCTGTCGGGAAGTCAGCGGAAGTGTGCGCTTCCCAGCTTAGTCAGTATGGCAAGCGTCAGTTGAGGAAAGTGCAGCAAGGTTTGCCACCTGGCTCCTCAAAGCGCGCCCATATGCCAAGGGCCCAGAAGATGGTCCCGCGCTAGACTGTTCAACTCTGCCTGAGGCTGGAGGGGCCCACAACGTGCGTGTATGTGTGGGTGTGTTCCTGCTCTTGGTCTCGCCGGGGGAGTCCGTGGGCGTTGGGGCGGGTGTCTTTTCCGCGTGGCCAGGGGCTGGGCCATGGTCAGAGTGCTTCTTGGAAGCCTGCCGGGCGTCTCCTGCTTCTCTCGGGCGGGGGCGGTCCCGCCTTCGACCCTTTGCGCGGCCCCGAAGGCTCCGACTGGGAGTTAGTTGATCAAGGTGATGCCCCGCCCACTCGCCTGCTGGGTGCCCTCGAGGCGAGGCTCAAGTCGCGCGCGTGGCCTCAGGCCTCGCAGCATCTTGACGGGGTGCGTGGGGGGGGGGGGGGGGGGGCGGGCGCGGTGCCCAGCGCGTTTCTGCTCTAGCCGGAGAGAGGTTAGAGATTAGCGAATAGCTGCGTTGGCTTGCATGGTCCGCTTGGTGGCCCGCGGAGGATTTTGGGCGAGCTATCGGACTAATGATTTGTGCCAGCGGTGCGAGCGTTCGCTTGAGACCAGCGCGCGCCGCTGTTGGGGGTGCCCTTGCAGCAATTCTTTTTCATGTCAGGAGTTGGCTGGTAGAGTGGGGGCGAGCCACCTTCGGAAATCGTAGTCGGACCTGATCACATGGCCCAGCAGGTCTCGGTTGAAGATGAACAGTCCCCTGTTTATTGGCTTTGTGGTCTCAGCCCCCTCCCGCGGCGTGGGCTTCCCTCTCCCCTCGAGCTCCGCCGGTAGTAGTGGCTCCGCGCCCTGCCGTGGCCCCCTCTCCCAGTGGTGCTCCGTGTCCCGGGGGGCCGTCGTCGCAAACAGCCGGTGCTCCGCCGTGCAGCCCGGGTTTTCATTCGCTTGGTTTCCTGGGCCCTCTCTCTTGGAATTCATGGTGCGCTGGCCCGGTGGGCAGCCCTGAGCAGACTGCGCCGAGGGCTGAGCTTCTTGGGTTGATTGAAGTGCGCAGGGCTGTCCGCCATCGTGAGGATTGAACGGTTTTGTCGGGCCATGCCACTCACGTTCGGGCCTTCGAGCGAGGCCGTCGTGACTCTGCGAAATCGGATAATTCCGATCTCTGGTGCGAGTTTGGGGGGCCAGCTGAGGCCCGCCCCGCTCAGCTCCCCCCCGTCCGCGCCGCCCCTCCCCCTCCCCCCCGCGCGCCATGCCAAGGGCGATTTTGGGCCGTTTCGCTTGGGCGCCGCGGTCCAGGTTGGCGGGCTGTGCGCCAGCGCTGTGGCGGACGCCCTCGCCGATGAGAGGGCCTCGCGAGCTGGGGCGCCCGACCCGATCGCAGATCGGGCCCTCGCCTTCTGAAGGAGGCCGAAACCATCCCGCTTCGCCACGCCTTCTTCGATACTGCTGCACCTTCTGCGGAAAGATTGTTGTCGCGGCCCGGCAGAGCGTCCGCTCTCTTCTTCGCTCGAGTTGCGTTGCGCGGGGCTCCCATGCATCCTTGTCTTTGGCCCCCGATCGCGCGGTGATTCCTCTTCCTCGCGAGTTTGAATCCTTGCCGCCGCTCGACGAGCACCATTCCACATCAAAGGTTGATCCGATCCCACAGCGTGTTTCGAGGGATGGGTGGATGGGCCTTGGCCTTGTCTCGCGTAGCTCTCATTTCATTGTGGCTGAATGGTTGTCGTGCTTTGTGTGGGATTTGTGGGCAGTATGCCGACGCCCCCCCGAAGCTCTTCACGCAAGAGTGCGAATGTCGTCGGCATGGTTGTTTGTCTCAGAGGGAAGCCCAATACACTGCCACTGCGGGAGTTTGGAATTTCAGCCTCCCCGTACGGGGGACAAAATACTTGGGTCCATGGCCAGATTTTTCCGCACCCATTTGGGGTCCTTGTTTCCTGTCAGCAAACCCTTGGTGCCCTCGGCGCTGGAGTTTAGTTGGCAAATGGTTTTGGCAGAAATCTCGGGGCGCTCTTGGGCCGTCTGGCGGGCCTCCTTGGGGTTTCTTCGGCTGCCATGGACCGATCTTGGTGGGTGCCCATGAGCCTGTCCTTGGAGCGTGGGCAGCCAGAGGCGGCGATGCTTTTCCTCCTCCGGACAGTGCGGTGCAGTGGGATCGTTGTGACAGTTACCAGGGTGGGGAATGTAATATGTCGGAGGTGGATGATGAAGTCGGGGTTGACCTCAAGTTGGGTCGGTGCGAGGAAGAGGCATGGCAGGTTGCAGTTAAACAGTTGTGTGGGGAGTCGATGCAATGATCCTAGAAATCAGGGGGGGGAGGAGGGAGGCAAAGCGCTAACATCATATAACAACCAACGGACAATTAAGAATTTCAGGCTCCTGGAGGATCTCTTGGAACCCTCCTGGGGCGTCTGAGGGGCCTGTTCGGATCTTGGGACGTCTTGGGGCCACCTTGACCGTCTAAATGGCGTTTCGGGGCCGTCTTGGAGGCCACCTTGGGCCATGTTAGCAGTCTTGGGGACATCTCGACGGCCATCTATGGCCATCTTGGCCGTTTTGGTGCCACTTCGGAGTGTTTCTGGGCTGGAAAGACCTACGATGCGAAGGCTTTCCAGGTGGCCAGCGGCTTGGGCCGAGACCTCATAGGTAATCCTTGTAGAAAGGAATAGAAACTCATCAGAAGTCCGTGCACTCGTGTGATGAATCACCATGGGGCGGCGGATCTGGACATCCTGTTATCGTGCTTGGATCGTGGACAAGAGGCTTGTTTGGGCCTCGTGACGGCCTCTTGGATGCATATTTGAGGCCGCCTCTGCGGGGTGGAGCCATCCTGGGGGCCTGTTGTCGACCAGGCCCTCGTGGGGGCCTGTTGTGGCCTGCTGGCCATATCGTGGGCCATCTTGGGGTGGAGGGCTCGAGATGGCACTTCGAGTTCCCCCTTTTGGGCCTCTGGAGGGCTCCTGGGACCCCCCTCAGCCCCTCTTGGGGACCAGGGAGGCCCTCTTGGCCGGGCCTTGGGAGCGTCTTGGGCCGCCTTGGACGCTCTCAAGACCAAACGGCCAAGGAATGGTTAGTCACGCAAGCACGTTATTATGTTCAAAGATGTGTGCCTCTTCGGCCGGCCACCCAGGGCGTCCCAGACGGCCCAAGAGGTCGCCAAGAGAGCCCCAGGACGGTCCCTGGGGGCTACCGCGGATCGTGGACGTTGGAGTCGGCCAGGGTTCAGTTTTGGCTTCCCAGAGGGCCCTTCGCCAGAAAGCCCCGGCACCGCCTAAGAATTCTGGCAAACTAGCGGTCTCGGCTTTTAGGAACCCTGCAGCCCCATCTGAATCCTCGCATATGTATGAGCCTTCGGGCAATCCACTCCGCGCTGAAGGCACGGTGGCACACCCCTGCTTTTTGTTGTCTCTCTCTCTCTCTCTCGCTTTCGTTGGCTCGTCTCGTGCGATCGTGGCGCAAAGTGAAACTCCCGAGGCCCACGACTGGTGCAGGCCCTGCCCTCCCTTGCCCGAGCGGGATCTGACGGCGGGCAGTGCGGGCCCGGATCAGCAGGCTTGGCGAGCGTGGCGGGCGGACTCTAACGGACGGGCAGCGGACCGAAATGCAAGCGGGCGGGCGGACTCATGTGGGCGAGCCAATCTCCCCTTGCCTTCCCTTCCTCCCGCCATCCCCTCTGGTCACCCGCGGTGCCCGGCGGCAGCCAGGCCGCGACGGCCACGGCAGCGCGCAGGCGTTGCCCAACTGTGGCCCCACGGTGACGCTGGGACGAGAAAGCCCTCCCTGTTTGCCTCGTCGCCCCCTCCGTCCTGCTCCAACTCCTTCTGCTTCTCCTGCTCCTCCTGCTCCTCCTGCTCCTCTTGCTCCTCTTCCCTCCTTGCCCGCATCCTGACCGTCATTCTCCCTCCTTACTTTCCACTTTGTTCCCCTCTTCTTGCTCCCCCCCTCCTCCCCCTCTCCTTTCCCCTTCTCCCCTTTCCCTCCATCTCTCCCCCCTCTCCCCCCCCGACACATTCTTGTGAAAGGACTAGGGGGAAAGGAACTGTGTGGATTCCCCGGATGGTCGATCACATGTTACACCACCGACCTTTTTTTTTGCGACCCTGCACCGTAACCTATATCAAATTGGGGCGGGTGGGTGGGTGACAAACAAGCGCTAATAGCAATCGCGACCCAACATGTCGCAAGCGCTGCTAAATGGTACAGTATGTTGTAGATGTGCCGATGGGTGTCCCGCCTTCGCGACATTTCGCGAGCGGCCTTGCGGGGTCAACGACTGGCGCTGCGATGCATGAGATCATGCAGTGCGCGGTGCTTGCAATATGAGTGTAGTTGCAACGTGATTGGGTGTTAATGGATGGTCAACGATTCGCAGTTCTTCACTACGGACCGAACCACCCCATCCCAACCCGAAGGCCCCCCGAAGACCACCCGAAACATCATCGTTTGGGGTGAGGGGGGCGCCAGGTTTTGATGAAGACAAAAGGAAGTAAGGGACATGTTATCAAATTACAAGTTGCCTTTGGTTGGCCGTTGGGTGGTCATTGGGTGGTCCTTGGGGGCCAGTCGTCCATTCGTATGGCAGATGACACGTGCCCACCAAAACGCGAACGACGAAGTCCGAACCCGGCAAAACGAGGGCGAACATTCATTGCACCATGAATGTTTTACCGCATAGTTTGCATTACATGGTTTGCGCCACATGTCTCGCCCTATATATATATATATATATATATACACATATGTTAGACCATGCAGATGGCGCCACATAGCCTGCGCCACATTGCTTGTATCGCATACTTGGCGCCACGTCTATCTCACTTGGCAGATTGTGCCACGTAGCTTTCACATCCAGAGTGCAGGGGTTCACTGCTTGGGGTTAGCTTACGCCACGTAGCTCGCCCCCTCATAGCCTGCGCCGCAGACACTTCTTTTGTCGCCGGCGGCGAGGCAGAATGGCTGCACCAGCGCTAGAGAGCTAAACGGGGGCACCGAGAAGCGAACCGGCCAGCGTGCAGGAGCGGGGAAAGGACAGACCGGGCGGCCGCGGGAGGGGGTGACGCAGAGGCCACTCCGCAGAGGAATACTCCAGATTTCCTAACAAAAGGGAGGGGGTCACAACCCTCCCAGACAAGAAGTTTTAGACCCCCCAGACTATCCATGAAAGGGCGGCCCTTTGCCCAGACCCCCCCGAACCCTCCAAGACAGCTCAAATTAGACCCCCCCCCGAATGTGATCTGAGGAAGCTGGCGCGGCGGGCCCCGTCAGCGGGATCCACGGCAGCAGCCAGGCCGCAGCGCCGGGGCACCCACGGGCATTGGCGGGGCCCTGTGCGTGGAAGCAAGCACTGCAGTGGGTCTGCCGCTGAAGTGGGCTGAGGTACTGGTACGACAGAAGAGGGCCGCGATGCCGCCCAGGTGGGCGGCAGGTTGACAAGGTACGGCACGTCCACGAACAGTCGAGGTTTCAGACTGCGACCGACACTCTGGACCCGTGAGGGCTGTGGGCGGCAGAACCGAACCCAGGTGCACAGCCACTATAGGGGGAGCCGCCAGCTGTGGCGGCAGCGCAGGCGCCATGGCGGCGCGCAGAGGGAGGGGGGGAAGGGGCGAAGGGCGGGGGAGGAGGGCGGGGAGAAGGGGCGCCCCTGCCCGGGGGGAGGGCGGGGTGCTGCCGGGTCCTGCGGCTGTCCAGCAGGGGGCCGCGCAGCGGGCCCGGAGCCAGAACCGCGGCCGAGGCCGCGGGGCCGCGCGCTGCTGGGGTGGACCGCGCGCGGTGGGTCTCACCACCTACCAAACCACCCCAACCCAACCCGAAGGCTCAGATTTACCCCCGATTTCCAGTGGTGGGGGGGGGTCGGGGAACCTCGAACAAACATGTGTGGGGCCCTGAACCCCCCCAGCCCGAGATTCGGGTCTTCGGGTTGGGTGGGGGTGGTCTGGTCGGTAGTCAGGGTCCGGGGGCACCTGACTTGTGCGGATGTTCTTGGAGAACGACGGGCGAGGCCATGGAGGCCCGCGCGCTGCTGGGGTCGGACAGCATGCGGCCGATCAGGGGGCACCTGACCTGTGCGAGGACCTGTATACAAAGGGAGCAGCTGCTGTTGCTGCTGCATCAGTTGTTTTTGTTTTTTGGTGTCGTTGTTGTTGTTGGTGTTGTTGTTGTTGTAGTTGTTGGTGTTGTTGTTGTTGTTGTTGTTGTTGTTGTTGGTGTTGGTGTTGGTGTTGGTGTTGGTGTTGGTGTTGGTGTTGGTGTTGGTGTTGTTGTTGTTGTTGTTGTTGTTGTTGTTGTTGTTGGTGTTGGTGTTGGTGTTGGTGTTGGTGTTGGTGTTGGTGTTGTTGTTGGTTATGTTGGTGGTGCTGTTGTTGTTGTTGTTGTTGTTGTTGTTGTTGGTGTTGGTGTTGTACTTACATTCTTGAAGAATGATTATTGTTGATCCCCTCCTCCGGTGCGCATTGCATTTTTCAATTGAACTGCCCTTCCCGGCGCTGGCACCGTGTTTTTTTCATCAGGGAAGGTCTTGAGACTTAAACTGTGCCCTTGGCCCCCGGGTTACAGCAACAACTTCAACGGTTCCCGCCTGAGACTTCCTTACACTTTAGCCAGGACCCCCGCTTCCGCTTCAAATTTCCTCGCATTTTATCCAGGAATCGCGCTCTTGCTTGGGACTTCCTGACAATTTCTTGGAATCGTTCTCTCGGCGCTCTGGAGTCGCGCTCTCGCTGGAGACTTGCTTGCCATTTTCTCAAAACTATCGCCCTTGCGTGGGTATTGCCCGCTATTTACTCAGGCGCCGCGCTTCCGACACTCAGGCGCCAAGGAGTCGCGTTCACGCTTCGGACTCCCTCACGCACATTATTTAGGACTCGGGCTCTCGCTGCCCTTCGTGTCCCCGTTGCAGCCCTTCGTGGACCCGTTGCAGCACTTCGTGGCCCCCTCGCCCTTCGTGGACCCGTTGCAGCCCTTCGTGGCCAACTCGCAGCCCTTCGTGGCCCCGTTGCAACCCTTCGTGCCCCCCTCGCTGCCCTTCGTGGCCCCGTCCCCCTCGCTGCCCTTCGTGGCCCCGTTGCAGCCCCTCATGGCCCCCTCGCTGCCCTTCGTGGCCTTGTTGCACCCCTTCGTGGCCCCGTTGCAGCCCTTTGTGGACCCCTCGTTCCCCTTCGTGGCCCCGTTGCACCCCTTCGTGGTCCCCTCGCTGCCCTTCGTGGCCCCGTTGCAGCCCTTCTTGGACCCCTCGCTGCCCTTCGTGGCCTTGTTGCAGCCCTTCGTGGCCCCTTCGCTGCCCTTCGTGGCCTTGTTGCAGCCCTTCGTGGCCCCCTCGCTGCCCTTCGTGGCCCCGTTGCAGCCCTTCGTGGCCACCTCGCTGCCTTTCGTGACCCCGTTGCAGCCCTTCGTGGCCCCCTCGCTGCCCTTCGTGGCCTCGTTGCATCCCTTCGTTGCCCCCTCGCTGCCCTTCGTGGCCCTGTTGCGGCCCTTCGTGGCCACCTCGCTGCCTTTCGTGGCCCCGTTGCAGCCCCTCGTGGCCCCCTCGCTGCCCTTCGTGGCCCCGTTGCAGCCCCTCGTGGCCCCCTCGCTGCCCTTCGTTGCCCCGTTGCAGCTCCTCGTGGCCGCCTCGCTGCCCTTCGTGGCCCCATATAGGTATGCCCTTCGTGGCCCCCGCTCGTTCGCGCCCGTCGTAGTCCCCCTATGCATCCCCTTTGTGGCCCCGTTGTAGCCCTTCGTGTCCTACATCGTGCCCTTCGTGGCCCCGTAGCTGCCCTCAGTGGCCCCGTCCTTGCCTTCCGTCGCCCTATTATCTGCCCTTCGTGGCCCCCGCTTGTTCGCGCCCGTCGTGGCCCCATGTGCATCCTTTCGTGGCCCCGCTGTCGCTCTTCGTGGCCCCCTCGCTGTCCGACGTGGCCCCGTTGCTACCCTCAGTGGCCCCGTCGTTGCTTTCTGTGGCCCCGCATTACCTGCCCTTCGTGGGCCCCGCTTGTTCGCGTTCTTCGTGGCCCCATACGCATTCCCTTCGTGTCCCCGCTGTCGCCCTTCGTGTCCTACATCGTGCCCTTCGTGGCCCTGCTGTCGCTCTCTCTCTCTCTCTCTCGGTCTCGCTTTCGCTCGTCGTCGTCGTCGTCGACGTCGTCGCCGTCGTCGTCGTCGTCGTCGACGTCGTCGTCGTCGTCGTCGTCGTGGTCGGTCCCCATGCCGGCGGTCCGCGGCCGCTCCGCCGCTTGCCGGGGCCCGGCCTGCAGGGAAGACAGGTATACCCCCCGAAAGGGGTACGATCGAAGACGAAGAGGGCGGGTATCGAGGGTTTGGGAAATACGCGCCAACGGACACTCGAGCAGATAAAAGCGAACAGTGTAAAACTTATTGTTGTTGTTGTTGTTGTTGTTGTTGTTGTTGTTGTTGTTGGTGTTGTTGTTGTTGTTGTTGTTGTTGTTGTTGTTGTTGTTGTTGTTGTTGTTGTTGTTGTTGTTGTTGTTGTTGTTGTCGTCGTCGTCGTCGTCGTCGTCGTCGTCGTTGTTGTTGAACTCTCATATTGTTGATCCCCCCTCCAGTAACGTATGTGTTTTTTCAATTGAGGTGCCCTTTCCGGGGCTCGCACGCTTTTTTTGTGTTATCAGGGAAAGTATTCCTCCTCAAACTGCGTTGTTAGGCCCCGAACCGCAAAAACATCAACGCTTTCCTCCCGCCTTGTATTTTTCACAATCTATTCCCAAATCGCGCTCTCGGGCGGGCTTTCCTCGCAGTTGATTGAGGAAGCGCGCTCTC